CTTTATTATTTTTATAAATAATTCAAGGCAGCAAACATACCTAATATTCCTTCCTCCTCCTATTTTCCCATAACAACAACCCTGTGAGGGGGGTTGGGCTGAGAGACAGTGACTGGCCCAAAGTCACCCAGCGGCTTTCATGCCTAAGGTGGGACTAGAACTCACAATCTCCTGCTTTCTAGCCTGGTGTGTTAAATTAGCCAAACTGGCTAATTTAAATTTAAATTTACTCATTTAAAATGTGTACAGTTAGAATGGTTTCATTATTATCCCAATACTGATGAAGTTTTGAGAGGGTAACTAATTGCCTTCATGGGAGATTTGAAAGGTGGAGGGGATGTCCTGATTTGCAACTCATTCACTAGCTACATCAACTCCCTCTCTGGTATAGTGTCTTATCTATGTACATTCTTATCTCAGAAAAGAGAAGGATCTTACAAATATATCTTTTCTGTTCCTTCACCATTTTCAGGGTACTGCAACACACGGGTTCATACGACCTGGTCTATACAGTATATGCATCATAACAAAGTACAAGAATCCTGAAGGGATGAAGCAGGCTGTACTACTCCACGTTGTAAGTAAGGGGATGCCATGTTGGAGCGGCTGTCCATGTTCAACTCCCAAACAAGAAAACCACTTTAGAAACTAATACCAGTTAGTATTTTAAGAGGTTTTTAGGGATGGCATTGTTGTTGTTTTTTAAATATTTATTGATATAGTGACTGCTGGTTTTTATGGTACTGATTTTTTAAATTGCTATGCACCATCCTGGTTGCTCTGCAGAATGGTGATAAAAAATCAATAATGCTAACGGTATGTACCATGATAAAGATGCTAGCTCAGCTTTTCCTTCCCATCAGCAAAATTTGGGTCAAAGCTTTGGGTGACCCTCATAGCTGAGTGTTAATATTAACTTTTAAAAATTACATTATTTTTCAAACTATTGTACACTAGCCAGAGTCTGCTTAGATTGGGGCACCCTAGAATATGGTCAAATGAATGAATGTGTTCATTTGCTGCTTGCAGAGTTTTATTTGTTTAATTCAGAGATGCCATTAAAATATGATTCCCACTGTTACTTTAATAAACAATTCTTCTCACCTCTGAATTCTACCAAATTTTGCTCCACACGTGGTGGGACCCATCAACTTTTGGGATTTGTTTTTGCTTCAGAATTTGGTGAGAGTTTAAAGCAGTATTTTTCAAACTTGGCAACTTTAAGATGTGTGGAGTTTAACTCCTATGCTGGCTGGGGCATTCTGGGAGTTGAAGTCCATGCCCCTTAAAGTTGCCCAGTTTGAAAAACAAGGCTTTAAAGCAAATCACTGTTGATGAAGCTTAGGGCCCAAAAGGTGTTTTGGTGGCAGCCCAGATCTATGTTTTCCAAATCCAGATTTGCCATGATCACATAGTGTCAAAAAAGGCAAAAGCAGTGCAAAGCTGTCCTCGTCCTCCGGTGAATTCCCTGTAGCCTTTATTCCCTTCACTCTTGACATTAACATCCAGATGAAAAGTGGCTCGGGGTGGAAAGGAAAGGACAACCTCTTTTCAGCGGCCTCCTCTTAATGGAAAACCCCGTCTCCAGAAAAAGAACAGAATTCAGACAACCTCAAACATGCTGTTTTTATCCTTGGGGGCTATTTCCAGTTTCTCCCTCCTTTGAAATGGGTGGAAAAGCCTGAGCCAGAATTTGAACTGCTTTGTGTTTGGTTTGAACTTCAAGGCTCTGGTAAGAAAGCTGCCCCTCCACCTCTAAAGCCCCCAAGATGCTGCTTAGCAGCCTCGCCAAGGATGGTGGGTAATGAGGGGAGAGACACAACATGGCTGCCATCCACACCACCCATCCTTGGCAACATGCAGCAAAGCCACGGACACCTGTGTTTTTCCACCCACGAGCCTGGCGTTGTGTGTGCCCTTCTTTTCTCTTCTTAAAGAGAGGGAGGTGGAGGGGGAAAACCCACCTCTTTGCTTTCCTCATCCCAGGCAGCCCGGGAGAGTTTGCCAGTTAATATCCTGCCATCTCTGATTGTGCTTTGAGAGGTGTGACGTTTGATAAGCTCCATTTAACTTGCTTGTTCGACATTGTTTAAATAATTCAAATACAGATTGGCCTTTTAGAAGGATTTCTGCTCTATTGACCTTTGTTGGTCGCATGTTACAAGGAAATTAGGGAGGGGCCCTGGCAAGAGGCCTGCTCCAAACAGGCAGCTGAAAAAGAATCCGTTCTAGCTTTTAATGAGCTCAGGGCACCCATTATTTATGGCCCATTGAAAGAGCTGGGGCGGTTAATCTTTCTCCACAAGATTAGGGGCTCTTACTACTGGATTTAGGCTGCAAATATCTGTAGAACTCCTAGAGGGAGACAAAAAAATGTGTCCCGCTCTATAGTGCCATCTAGTGATTGACTGGATTTCTACAGATATGGAACTGGATTTCCCATATTAGCACTACTAATTACTAATATGGGAAATAAAGCACTAAATGAAACAATTCAAAGTAAACAAAATGCTATTTTGCATTCAGAGCTCTCATACGTTGCCTCACGACAAATGTTCTCAGTATTAGCCTATTTCACTTAATTATACAAAAACTGGCTTCCGCTAAAAGAAAACTCAGGGGATGTACCCATTGGAATAGAATCAAAATGGGTCACTGAGGATGAAGAGAAAGGTGCCAGCTTTAGAGGAACTTCAAGATTTGTAAAACGTTTTCAAACATTTAAGAGATAAAAGTATGCCCAAACTGGCCAATGGGATCTGAATTTGTTCAGTAACCATGTGTTCTGGGCTCAGTTAAGGAAAAACAAAAGGAGAGTGAAGGAGTGGAATGGAGTAGTTTGTGGATTGCTCGAGTTTCTAATTTTATAACAAAGGTCTGAAACTTTTGGGGCTTTGGGAGATGTTGTGTGATTGCATATGCTGGCTTATGCACCCACATCTTCGAAATCTCACAAGATTTCAGCATCAGATGATTGAGATCTTATATGGTAGGAGACTGGTGAAATCCAGTGAAACTTCAGCTGTCTTCTACAAGTGTTTTGAAGATTTGGACATTCTATTTCTGTAAACTGTAGAGGGCAACTCTTGCATGGTTGCCCATGGATACCACCCTGCCTTATAATGCCCTGAAGCAAGCATATTTGCCTCATAAAAACCCAGAATAGGAATACTTCTGCAAGTGGGTGAGGATACACTGCGACATTTTGTTGTGAGCCTGTATGTGTTATACTGTAATATTCTCCAATTCCAGTGTTCATGGTGGAGATACTCTTGTCAGTTCTTCTTGTGGCTTTTAACATCTGCTGGGGAAGGTTTCAGCGATTAAGTTGCAGTGTATCATGGAAAATACTGAGGGAACAGCAGTTCTGCTAGAGAGAAAGAAAAAAAGTTAACTTCGGACAAAGTGGAAATGCCCTTTAAATGCAAATTAGATGGCAAGTATATTGATGCAGAGCCTTATACATTCTTAGGTGCTTATCTGTTATGACTTGACTAAATTATTAATTTGTGTTCCACGAGGGGCTGCCTGTAAAGGCAGTTGGGAAGCTTCCATTAGTGCAGAATATGGTTGTGGGTGTTAGTGGTGATGAGTGGGTCAGACCCTAGTATTGCACTAGCTGCAATGACTGCCAGCATTTTTCTGAGCCCAGTTTATTTTATTTATTTATGAAATGTATTTGACTGCCTAAAATCAACTGGACTGGCAAAATTTACATAATAAAAATAAGATGCAGTTTAAAATGTTGATTTTAACTTTTTAAAGTCTCCAACAATTTGATTCTGAACAATTTGCAGCGTGACTTTACCTCTACCAGACTGTTTGTACTTCAAAGTCATCCATCAAGCCTTTCTGTGGACTTTTTCGTAGTGGACTTACACCACTGGAATGAGTTTCCATTGGGAGAATTCAAGTCCTGAGGGAAAGGTCTGAAGAGAAGGGATCTTTAGAATTCTGCCCTTAGAAATCCTAAAAATAATTTAAATAGATAAATAAATATTTATCATTTCAGATAAAATATTTTAGCAAAACTAGTGCATAGTATTAGAAAAATAGGTCTGACTATAGCAAAGTAAAATATGTTTCCATTAGAACTTTGGTACTTTAAGAGTTTGAGAAAAATATTTTTAATACTATCAGACAGACTGAGAGCTTGCTTAGTTACCCCATTTACAGAATAAGGCAGTGACTATTTTTTGAAGGCAGTAATGGACAATGTCAGCTTTTATTTCACCTCCCTCACATTGCAAATTTAACCTCCCTATGTGCTGTCCTGCTGCAGTTTGAAAGTAGATTTCTTCTCTAATATTACCTCAAGTGACTAGATAAAGGATGAAATGCTGGCATCCTGTATGTTCATATATGTTGCTGAAAGAAAAAGAATTAAAAAGCAATTTTACAAAGTTTCTGCTGGATGGTGAACCAGCAACCTCTTACATAGGAGGCAAAGCTTTCAATCACAGTGCTATCTTATGAGTAAGAATAAGCGAAAGGTCTAAAATGTATTAGAGTTCAAAAGGGCTGGTAGGAAAGGAATGTGTATTTTAAAGATGGTGGTTGTGTGTGCTTGCATATATGTGCATTTTGATGTTTTAACTTTCTATATATAAATTTAACTTTATTTGTATAGATATGTTTGTGTGTGTGTGAGTGTGTGTGTGTGTGTATCAGACATATAAAAGTACATATGCCCATGAAAACCCACCTACAGGAAAGAAAGTGATTGGCTGCTGCATTCCAGGAACAGAAGGGTGGGATGGCACAGCTGCAAAGGAATTGTCTAGTGGAAGGATATGGTAGCTTGCACTCTGGGCTGAATGCTTTGCAAATCCTCTCAGTCTGTACAGGATTTTCTTAGACCAGATTAGAGTCAATCCAGCATGAGCAACAGACAGAAGCGGCTTAAACTGTAACTGCAGATACACTCTCTTCCGGGTCCCCCAAACATACTAGGGTTAGATAACATTTAAATAAATGAATATTGCTTAAGTTGCTCAATTATGCATCAGTAAGAGTTGTGAACACTGCTGCAAAAATTATTAATGCAGTAATACCTTGCCACCCTTTGAGGTGATTCCAACATCGAATTGTTAGTATTTTTATCGAATGTTTGAGTTATCAACAATTTTAGAATACAATTCATTTGAAAAGTGCTGTAAACAGTCTTTTATGTCACTTATCTTTGGTGATGCTGGGATGTGTATGTCAAAAAAATCAAGATGGTGGCTGCAACCTTGTGATTGAAGCCTCGCCCCTTTTTTATATGCATTATGTATGCAACACAAACACAAGTGGCAGGGCTTTGATTGAGAAGTTGTGGTTACCATCTTCATCTTTTGACCCTGCCTTCATGGATGCCCCTGCATACTATTATTGTTCATGTGTGTCAAAGGTTCAAGATTACTTGCGGTTCCTCAAAGCCTTGGATACGGTCCCATAAGACTTTCATTTTTGAATAACTGATTTGTATTTTTAGTGTGTTAGCAGAAAAAATACAGGAGTATAAAAAAAACTATTTTGTGTTTGGCCCCACTTTTGATATGCCTCTCAAAGGTCAATCCTTCATCCTCAAAAAGTTGCTCCCCTAATATCATTGGAGATTCCCAGTGTCAAATTTTCAGCCTTTTAAAAAATTTTATTTTAAAAACCAGGAGTGGAGCTTCAGCATGTTGGGCAAAGCCTGTTTTTCTTCAGCCAAGAAAAGTTGTATAGGGAACTTTGATGACCATAGAATGAGATGGAAAAAAATGGTGTCCTCCAAGTCAATCACCTGCTTTGATTTTAGTAATTTATCCTAAACTGTACTTTACCTTTGCCTTGAGACCACTGAGAAGGATAACCTTGGTGGCATCAAGGTAAACACCTGTCTAATAATTGTGCAGCATAAGTTTCCTTCCCAAAAAGTTTCTAGATTTAATCCTTGAAAGCTCCAGCTTGGCTGAGAAAGAGTCTGTTTGAATTCCTGGAAAACCATTGCTGGCCAGTGTTGCCAGTACAAATCTAGCCCTGGTCTGGCCCAATAAAAAACAGCTTCCTTTGTTGTAGAGGCATTTTTTCCTTCCAAAGATGCAGCCCCTCTAGTACATTCCATGTGAGCACTGTACCATGTTTACCTCACTTGCCCCACAAAAGGGTTAAGGGGTGGTAGCACTGTTTGATTAATAGACGGCACTGTGAGCCTGACCATTTGCATTCCTGGGTCTTTTGGTTTTCCCTCCATGATAAGGGGAGGCCAAAGTCCTCTTGCACTGGGCCAAGAGGACAAACAGAGCCTCCCAATGGAGTAGTTATTAATATAAAGCCTTCAGGCTTTCCAAACTGTTGCTCAGCAACTCGTGTTCTTTCACACACTAATCGATAGCACTTCTTCTGCTTAGTTGACTGAAAGGCTCCCAACTCCACCTGGAAGAAATTGTTGGAACGTAAGTCCTCCAACAGCTCTTATTTAATGTGCTCACTAGAGAAACGCTGGTCAATATGCACTAAAGCTGTAATACAATAAATGACGAACAATTCTAAAAAGGTTTTTCTTAAAAGTTGCAATTGAAGGCTATTACTCTATTAGATGAATTTTAGATCCAACAGAGTTCTTTCTCTCCTGTATATCAGAAGGAAGCTACTATTACTGGGTACTGTTTTCTGTGTACTATTACTTATGTAGCCAAACCAGAACCACTCACATATAAAAGGAAGGTATCAGGAAGCCTGTAGGAACTAGGTTTGTAGAAGTATGTTTAGGGAAAAAATTCTAACATTTAGGAGTAGAAGTTCAAAAGCAGTCTGAGGATTGAAAATGTTCAATGTCCATGTGATCACTTGACTAATGGAGATCCCCCCCACCTCAAAAAGTGATCCTACATAAAACTAGGTCCCAATGTCATTGTGTTCTTACAGGTCATGGAAATGTGTTGTTCTTTCGTGATTTTCCTATGAAGGAGATTCTGATAAGCTTCCGTTGAACTCAGGGTTTGAAAAACATGGCTTTAGCCCTAGGACTAGTCCAAGGTAACTTGGTACCCCACAGCAGAAGATTTACATGTCTCCTTTTACCTCACTCATATAGGTCGTGATCTGCTGGGAAGCACGTGGAAGAGCCTTTCCTGCTGGTTAAGGCCTCTGGTTTTAAATCATATTCCTCTTTTAATGGCACCAAAGTTTCATTTTGCTTCATGATAAGGCTGGAATAGAAGACACTTTTGCTTGGATGTGGAATTCATACTGTCCTTTTGCCTATGCCTAAATAAAATTCTGCATGTTTAGTCTATTCATTTATGTGAAGATTTTTTTTTTCTGCAAAAGAGGGGAAAAATCAGTTAAATGGGTTGCCCAAGATCAACAAAGTTCAAGCACATGGATTCTTTCAAAGAGAAACTTAAATGCAGTTTTGACCTTTGGGCTGGGAATGGTTGTCCAAAAGATCCAACCTCCTGGGGCTAGTGATAAAAGAATCCTCCTGCTTCTTTCTCCTCCCAAATAAAATGGGACTGTCCTGGTGGAAGAGCTACTTCCAAGCCCAGGGTATTACATCATCACTGTAGCTGATAACAGGGAAGCACAATGGAGTGTTAGACTAATAGAAAAACATTGCCTGGATAAGAGAGGCTCCTGACAGCCTGGGATGAGGTAAAAAACCATTGTCTCTCATGCTGTCAGCTGAGTCACTGAGCGATAGGGGATTCCAGAAGCAACAGGCAATGGAAGGGTCAAAACCTGTGTGGGAAGAGAACCTCTGCTAGTTACATTTGAGATGGAGACACTGATCGATTGATTGATTCACAGGGAGCGGATCCAACTGAAAGACATTTCCAGACCAATATTCTAGATCAATAAGTCTCAGATTGTATGCTCAAACTCTTCACTCAGCCAGGGCAGAGATCCTCATTCTGGCAAATTCAGCTGGATGAGCAGAATTTTCTATCCTTAGAATAGGCTGTCTGCCAGCTTTCCATATCAGAACCTGACCTGGGCTTTCCTCTCTATAGTCAGAAGTCTTACCTGATTAATGACTACTAAGGCTGAGTCTATGCCTGCAGAAGAGACAACAAAAACTAGAGCTGATAATTCCATTTCAGACTGCAGTAGGAAGTCCAAAAGTCTTTCTTTTTCAACAGCCTTGTATTTGAAGCCTCTATTGAAAGCATCGTTTATCTCAGGGATATGCAACTTCTGGACAAAGGCCACAACTGACTTTTTAATGTGATGTCATGGGACAAAATCCAAAAACCTAGTGCAGGAGAAAAACAAAACTTGATTTGATTCATTGGCATGTAAAGTTAATTGAATTAATTTTAGATACCACAATACTTCTTCAGCAAATTTTCCTCTTCTTTCATCTTAAAAATTACTTATACAATTTTTGGAGGTTTTTGAGGGGCACATCCAAAGATTTTGGAGGTCACATTCAGCACTGGGGCCTCAGGCTTTGCAGGTTACCCATCTGTAGGATGGGTGGAAGGCATTCCCTTATTTCAAAACTATTTAGCTTAGTCTCTTGTTTAAGAAAAGTTATCAACAGCTCATACCTAAATAGCAGATTTTGACTTTTTTTTTCTGGGCAGATTATTACACTTCCAAACAAAGCATCAGAGTGCAGCCACCACCTTTTTCATTTTCTGAGCGTACCTGTTGGTCTGCCTAGGTCCAGAGGCATTTCTGTAAATAAAGAGGTTGGAAGAGGCTGGTGCTTTGCTTTGCAAGATCCCAACTTCCAATTTTTCTTTTCTTTTCTTTTCTTTTCTTTTCTTTTCTTTTCTTTTCTTTTCTTATCTTTTCTTTTCTTTTCTTTTCTCTTTAAGAGGTTGGAAGAGGCTGGTGCTTTGCGTTGCAAGATCCCAACTTCCAATTTTTCTTTTCTTTTCTTTTCTCTTTAAGAGGTTGGAAGAGGCTGGTGCTTTGCGTTGCAAGATCCCAACTTCCAATTTTTCTTTTCTTTTCTTTTCTTATCTTTTCTTTTCTTTTCTTTTCTTTTCTTTTCTTTTTTCTCTTCTCTTCTCTTCTCTACTCTACTCTACTCTACTCTACTCTACTCTAAAGATAACTGCAGACATAGTGCAGACACACAAGTACCAGCTACTGTGCCTATTGATAGTGTATATTAAATAATTATTAGATTTGGGGTTCTTGGTATTCTGTGAGCTTGGTTGTTTGCTTGCAGATGTTTCATTACCCAACTAGATAACATCATCAGTGCAAGTGAGTGTGGAAGTAAACAGGCAGCAAACCCTGCACTCACTTGCACTGATGATGTTATCTAGTTCGGTAATGAAATGTCTGCAAGCAAACAACCAAACTCAGAGAGCACTAAGAAATCTCTAGTTCAATCCTAAGCTACAGATATTCCCTTCTATTGGATTGCTAGGTTTATTGTATGTTTAAATGTTGTTATATTCTTCTTCATTATATTGAATGATTTGGGAAATGTTGTTAGTGCTGTGAGGTGTTGGGTTATTCAACAAATACACCAAGATTCCAGTGTCACTGGGTCCTGCCAGTCACAAAGTGTGCCTTGATGCTCAAATTCAGTGGGATAACAGGCTTCCTAGTTTCACAGAGTGCACACAACTGTCCCTATGGTTATAGGGTACATGACAACCTCTGAGGACAGGTATCAAGAGCTGTTGGAATCTTG